AGAACTACGTGTGGACACCATCACCACCAGGGCCTTGGAGGAAGAAGAAGGCAGGCCGAGAGCTGAGCCTGCCGAGGAGACCGAAGACTTGATACTCGATCCGGCCAAGCCGGAGAGAGTCCTGAAGATTGGAGCCAAGCTCCCCGAAGACTTGAAGGCTGGCATCACCAAAGCCCTCCGCGCCTACTCCAGTGTTTTTGCATGGGGGCCGGAGGATATGCCGGGAATTGACCGAAGGGTCATCACCCACCGCCTAGCGGTGGACCCTTCGGCCAAACCAGTACAACAGCGGAGAAGACCCCTCTCGGCCGAGAGAAGGGAGTTCGTGAAGAAGGAGGTAGCCATGCTCCTCTCCATCAAACATATCAAGGAGGTAAAATACCCCTCTTGGTTAGCCAATGTAGTCCTTGCACAGAAGCCTCCTACCTTCCGCATGTGCGTGGACTACACTGATCTGAATAAGGCGTGCCCTATGGACCCCTTCCCTCTGCCAAACATTGATCAACTGGTGGATGAGACCGCGGGATGCGAAATCATGTCCTTCCTCGACGCATTCCGCGGGTATCATCAAATCTATATGCATGAAGAAGACGCTGAAAAAACTGCCTTCATGACACCCGAAGGCATCTTCTGCTACCTCGTGATGGCCTTCGGCCTCAAGAATTCAGGCGCCACCTACACCCGAATGGTGGCCAGGGTCTTTCAAGCTGTCTTGGGGCGCACAATGGAGGCCTATGTTGACGATATGATTGTCAAGAGCAAGAAGGCCGGCACTCACGCCGAGGACCTCCAGGAAATCTTCGCCATCATACAAAAATTCAACCTCCGATTGAATCCAAAGAAATGCACCTTCGGCGTACAAGGTGGAAAATTCTTGGGCTATATGGTAAGCCGAAGGGGTATCGAGGCCAACCCCGAGAAAATTCAGGCCATCATCAATATGGAGCCTCCGCGCAACGTCAAAGAAGTTCAACGGTTGACGGGTCGCCTGGCGGCCCTCAACCGATTCCTCTCTAAGTCAGCCGAGAGGGCCCTCCCATTCTTCCAAATCATGAGGAAGACAGCTGGCTTCCAATGGACATCTGAGTGTCAGGAGGCCTTCGATGAACTTAAGAAGTACCTCTCTTCTCCCCCGGTGCTCTCCAAACCGAAGGTGGGGGAGACCTTATACTTGTATCTCGGTGTTAGCCCTGCGGCAATCAGCTCAGTACTAATCCGAGAGGAAGACGACATCCAACACGCCATCTTCTACGTCAGCAAAACCCTCCGGGAGGCCGAACTCAGGTATTCTCCCGTCGAGAAGACGGTGCTAGCCATCGTTTGGACCGTCAAGAAGCTTGGCCACTACTTTCAAGCTCATCCGGTCCAAGTGCTCACTCATCAACCCCTCGGCGCCCTCATGAGGAGTCCCACTAGCTCCTCTCGGATGGTGAAATGGGCCATCTTCCTCAGCCAATACAACATAGATATCCGTCCGAGGCCTGCCATCAAGGGCCAAGCCCTGGCAGACTTCGTAACGGAATGCACCGCAAGATCAGCGGTGGATGAGGAGCCTTCGGCACCCCTCGATGAGTGGTGGACCCTCTATACCGATGGCTCCTCGGCTACCAAAGCATGCGGAGGGGGAGTAGTTCTCATCACACCCGAGGGCTTCCGCGCCTATTACGCCATCCGATTCTCCTTCAAAGTCTCCAACAACGAGGCCGAGTACGAAGCCCTCCTCTGTGGCCTTCGGCTGGCAGCTAATCTGAAGGCCAAGATGGTCCACGTTAAGTGTGACTCGAAACTTGTCGTGGGTCAAATTTCCGGGGAATACGAAGCCAAGGAAGGAAGGATGAAACAATACAAAGAAGCGGCTAAGGAGTTGCTCAAGGTATTTGAGGCACATTCCCTCACCCAAATACCGAGGGCTCAAAACTCCGAGGCCGATATTCTATCAAAGCTCTCGGATGAATCCCCCGAGCACCTCTCCAAAATTGCAAGAATTGAGGAACTCAGCCTCTCAAGCATCCACGCGAGCCCCGTCATGAACATTAACCTGAGGCCGGAGGATTGGATCTCCGACATCATCGCCTTCATCACCACGGGGCAACTGCCCCAAGACGAAGCTCGCGCCAAGTTAGCAAAACTGAGGGCTCCCAGCTACGCCATCGAAAACGGGAGGCTTTACAAGAGATCCTACAACGGCACCCTCCTTCGGTGCCTTCATCAAGATGAGGCCGAAGTCGCCATGGAGGAAGTGCACAGTGGCACTTGCTCAGCACACCAGGGACCCTTCTCCATGTCCCGAAGGCTCATAGTTCAGGGCTACTTCTGGCCCACGATGGCTAGAGATTGTGCTGATCTAGCCCGAAGGTGCACCGCTTGCCAGCACTTTCAGAAGGCCCCCGGCAGACCAGCGGTCAACTATGCTCCCATCAGTACCGCTATACCCTTCTCCAGATGGGGGATTGACTTAGTAGGCCCTCTGCCGAGGGGTACCTCCAACAACAGGTATATCATTGTGGCCATTGACTACTTCACCAAATGGGTAGAGGCCGAACCCCTCGCCAGCATCACTGAAGCCCGGTGCCGCCACTTTGTTCTCAAAAATATTCTCACAAGGTTTGGCGTCCCCCAACAAATCATCTCCGACAACGGGACTCAATTCGAAGCAGCCCCCTTCTGTGCCCTCCTTGAAGCTTGGGGCATCAAGCACACATTCTCTTCCGTTGCCTACCCTCAGGGCAACGGACAAGTAGAAAATGCCAACCGCACCCTCCTCGAAGGGTTGAAGAAGAAGCTGGAAGCCGAAGGGGGAGGCTGGGTAGAAGAGCTCCACAACATCTTATGGGCCTACCGCACCACCCCTCGGCGTGCAACAAGCGAAACCCCCTTCTCCCTATGCTATGGCTTTGAGGCTAAGGCTCCCACAGAAGTAACTCTTCCCACCCGAAGGGTTGAGCAATATGAGCCCGAGGCAAACGAAGCCAACATGGCCCTCGACCTTCATCTCATCTCAGAACGCCGAGAGCAAGCTTTTCTCAGGGCCGAAAACTATAGGAGACAAGTCAAAGGATACATCGACGCCAAGGTCCGCTCCCGGGAATTCCAGGTGGGAGACTACGTCCTCCGACGAAGGGAGGCCAGTCTACCCACCGAAGGCGGCAAGATGGCACCTAAGTTTGAGGGCCCCTACATCATCTCGGCCATCATCAAACCAGGGACATACAAATTAAAACGTCCTAATGGGACGGAGATTCCTAGACATTGGAATGTGCACCACCTAGTCAAGTTTTATCAATGAGCGGCCAAGCCCTCATCCTCAACGAGTGTAAATATCAATGGCCCAAGGCCCCATCTGTTCTTGAAGAATAATCAAAAGGCCAAGCCTTTATCACCTACATATTACACAAGTGGCCCAAGGCCCCCCCTTCTCTCCTACACATGAGTGGCCAAGCCCTCATCTCTTCACCATAAAAGGCCCGAGGCCACTCCCTCTTATGAGGAGGAACAACAGTTTAGGTACCAAGTACCAAGTGTATGGGTCACCCCCATCACTCCTTAAAGACACCAAGTGTTTTCAAAAACTTTTTCCTACAAAAAAAAAAAAAAAAAAAAAAAAAAACGGGGGGTACAACACCCCTCGGCTCCGGCTGGTACCAAGTGCCCCCGGCTATTTGTGTTCCACACACGAATAAAACCCTTCCCAGGAACGCTTTCCGCGCCATCCCCCAAGGGGAGGCAGGCCACGGACCATGTCCCGGGCCCAGGATTCGACTTCCACAAACGAAACGCTCCCCGCGCTATCCCCCAAGGGGAAGCAGGCAACAGACCATGTCTCGGGCTGAGGGGACGACTTTCAAAACCGAGGCGCTTTCCGTGCTATCCCCCAAGGGGAAGCAGGCAACAGACGATGTCTCGGGCCGAGGAAACGACCCTCAAACCCTTCGGGATATCGGAAGGTCATTCCCGAAGGGGGAGCCAACGGTTTATTCCGTTGCCTCCCATATAGGCCAAGCCTTTCCTAGAAACCAAGTTTCTAGACGCCTCTCCTACACGATCTAAAAAAAAAAAAAAAAAAAAAAAAGGTGTAGGAGGGAAGGAACTCCCCGGATACTATTCTCCCCGGAGGCTCAACACTTCGGATATACATTCCCGAAGGCTCCTACAGATTCACAAGAAAATCTGGCAAACAACAAGTCATCCGACCACAAGGCCGAAGGCTTCACTGCGTAAAACTTTGGAGTACAGGAACTCCACCAAAGGCATAAGAAGAGGGCTTACTATCAAAGCTTCACCTAAATTTGGCTCGAATCAAAGACGACACGTTACATACCGAAGGATACACAAAATTCTAAGGCAAGCCGAATCTATTATCTACACGAACCGGAGGCTACTCACTAGATCTGTTGAAGACCTCGGCAAACATATGCACCGGGGGCTCAGGCAGTTCCCACACTCGAAGGATTCGTTACAACACCAGTTGAAAGTTGGTGAGAAAATGACTAAGTCCACAAATGTGGACCCTTCGGTAGGGCTATTCTTCACCTACAGACTCATGGCCGACGGCCCCCGGCCGAGAGTCACGCTACTATAATGAGGGCCTGCAATGCAACTAGTTTTTACTTAGAATATTTTCTAAGTCCACAATGATGAGCCCCGGCGAATCTACAGTGCAGCCGAAGGCTGTGGCCAGGTTCTACTTAGAAAATATTCTAAGTCCACAAAGTTTTGCCCTCTGCCAAACATACGGAAGGAAACAAAAGCATACATTCATACACGGAGGCAGCAAATTGAAACACAAGCGCAAAAAGGACGAAAGGCATTCATTCATAAGGAAAAGGAACGAAGGCAGACAAAACATGGAGGCACATTCATTCATATAAGAAGCCCGGAGGCATATTGCATTCATAAAAAAAAAAACAGTGTTAACAAAGGATGTTTGTTTACAAATAAGGCCGAGGCCGAGGCCTACAACTATTACATCAAAATATGGCAAGTAAAATCTCAAGCCTGGCCCCCCCGGTGACGTCATCCTTCAGTTTCGAGGCTGCATCATCCTCAGCTTCTTCCTCATCATCCGAGGCCAGCTTGTCCATCTCTGAGTCCTCGAGCAAAGGCCTCTCCTCGCCTTCGGGCATGGGGGTTTGGAGGTCAGGAAGCAGAGGGGGAAGACCAAACGGGGCCGGGTCGAACTCTTTCGGGTCCACCCCATGGTGCCGGGCCAACTTGCGATAAATCAGGGCTTGAGTGAAGTACTGTCCGCCTTCGAAGAAACTTTTGCCTTTCAGCGCCAACCACATGGCCCCGGACCCCTTCACCCAGCCATCGGCAGAAGCCTCCACCACTGAGGCCACCCACTGCTTCTGCTCTTCGGCCTTCCAGCCGTCGGCAATAAAAGCCGCCACCGCCTCCTCCCTGGCCTTAGAGATAGCTTCCGCTTTAGCCTCCTCAGCCTTCTCGGCGGCTATCCTAGCGGACTCAGCAGCGGCCCTCTCGGCTTCAGCTTTCCCCTCGGCCCGGGCTTCCTCCTTGGCTGCCTCCAGTTTCTTCTCCGCCTGCCGGAGGGCCTCCTCCAAACTCGCCAGCTGCCGAATGGCCTCAGTATTGTTGGCCACCAGCTTCCTCGTCACCTCGGCGGATTTAGCCCTCTCAAGGCGATGCTGCTCCGCCCTACGAACCAGTTCCCCGAAGGCCAGGCTCGCCTGCAAACATATAAGGAGGCACTCAATATCAGATTGTTCAAAGGAAAGAAAAGAAAAGAGGGATTAAGGGCGCAAAAAATCTAAACACTTACGGTGGCCGAAGCTTGGAGAGCCTTGAGTTCGAGGGCTTCATCCCCAAACCGGCTGAGGGTGGACCGATCTACCGAGGGAGTGGCACCCTTCAAGAACTCCCTCGGGTCGAGGGTGCCATGCATGATGGCTGTTCCCTTTTTGATTGGGAAGTGTACAGTCTCAAGGGGCCAGGCCCCCTCGACAAGATCCTCCAGGGGAGCAGAGGCTGACGGTTGGCCGGCGGGGGGATCGTCAATGATCACCAGGGGGGTATCCTTTGGCTCAGCGTCCCCCTTCGATTTCTTCCTTTCCGGAGGCTTGACGCCCTTCCCGGCGTTTTTCCGCTTGAGCTCCCCCTCCTTGGAGCCTCCGGCATCAGTACCGGCACCAGCGATTGCAGTCCCCTTCGGGGGGCCTTGGCCCTCAGGGGTCTCCTGCTTCTTCAAAAGGGCGTCCACCTGCGGTTGCGTCGGAGGCCTCTCCTCCTTCTTCTTCTTCTTATCCTTGGCCAGTTGCCGGGACAGCTTAGAGAAAGCTTTCGGATCCATGAAATCGCCTGCAAAAGAACAAGAAGGAGTTAGAATCAAAAGCAAATCAAAGACTTACGTCTCTAAGCACTAAACAACAAGGGCCCTCGGCAACCACCTCTGATACCCGGAGAGCCCCGGTCAAGGAGAGGATATCTCTCATCTTTCTCCCCCGGCAAGCGATACCGCTGAAATTCTAATTTGAGCAGCTCCTCCGGAAGCGTGGCGGCCTTAATAGTCGTCAGCTTTTCTGAACCAGGCGGCTTCGCCTTCAGCTTTCTCCCATTGGCCTCAAGGGCAGCGTTGCCCACCTTAGGGTGTCTCTGAAAATGGTTGCGAAGAGGCCTCGGGAAGGTCACTCCCGGCATCCTGAGGTAACAGAAACGGTCCCTCCATCCCTTGTGAGACGAAGGCACCTCCGAGAAAAGCCTCCACGCCGGCACTTGTTGGAGGTTGGCGAAGCCCTCGCTATTGGCAGCACCCCCTCGACACAGGTTGAAGGATAGAAAAAATTGATCCAATGTGGGGACAACCCCTCGGCTTCGACATTGCGAGAGAAACCCTGTGATGTACGAATGACTATTCGGGGTCAGTTGGCAAGGAGCGAGACCCACGAACCGAAGGTATTCCACCAGAAAAGGGTGGAGCGGGAATCGGAGACCCAACTCCACCGAAAGGATGTGCACCGCGTAACAGCCCTCTGGAGGATGCAATAACACATCGTCAGGCCCCGGAACCACCACCTGTGCCGACGGACCGACCAACAGTTGAATTTTGAGATACTCCGCCTCCCCGGCCTTCGTTTTCAATTCGAGGGCGGCGGTGTTGAGATACGAGTGGCCCTCGGGTATTCCCACCGGCTGACCTGCGTCGATAGCAGCCTGCTTCTTCTTCGTGGCCGCCTGGGTCTTCTTCTTCTTTTTCCCGGGAGCGACGCTTATCGGTTCCGGATCTAGGGGCCGGGAGCTACTAGCTTCGCCGGCGCCACGAAGGGGGAGTGCGGCGACGGTCACCCTCTGCCGCTCTTTCTCCTCCTCTTCCTCGGCGACTTGGAGCGCGAGGGCAAGCTCTTCGTCTTCCGCCACCTGCTCGAAGTCCTCCGCCTCCAGCTCAGTCCGAAGGGTGTCTTGGACTTCCTCGGCGATGGCAGCGTCATTGTTGACCGACGAGTGGTCACTTGAGGACTCAACCTCGGAATAGCTCTCCGATTGAACCGGGGCCTCCACGGAAATATCTTGGGAGTCGCTGGCCGAAGACATCTTCTCGAGAACAGGGAAAAGGGGGAATATAAGAGAACTAACTGGAGGCTCCTAAGTATTCCCTAACACTAGATTTAAGGCCAGTGAAGCGAAATACGCTAAGTGTGTGGGAAAGGAGGAAGAACTGACCTCAAAGATTGCGTTTGATCGAAGGCTGAAGTTTCTCTCTCTAGAAAAAATGGCAGAGCTCCGCTATCTCTCTAAGTTCGCACAAGAACAAATGAGCTCAGGCTCAGGGTATTTATAGGCAGTGGGCCTCGAGAACTGGGCCTCGATTTGAAAAGCCCATCATTACGGGCCGCCGCCTCAGCCAATGAATGACAGCCGCCCACCCCCAACCAACAAGGGCACGCCACGTCAACCCCTCCTCCAACGGCTATATTACAACGACTATATTCCGGCACCACTGAAGTGCCTTCGAATGATAGCCTCCGGCTATCACCCGCCACACCCTACGGACAAATAATTCCACCAAACGCCTTCGAGCCCGTAGCAGTATAAGCCTTCGGCTTGTCAATGTTATCACCCCTCGGGGGATCATCAACTCATCATAACTCCTTCAGCCCGAACTTGCCTTCGGCCTAAAGGAGTGGGAGACTGGGATACACCCCTCGGGGATCATACACAACCAAAAATTCTTCATGCAACAATTTACAATTGACGCATACGGCCTCCGGGCAAACATCACAATACATGCAGACAAGACATCTATGCTTTCCTCAGAAAACCCTCGACGTGTGAGGGACTGAGGGGGAGCCCCCGGCGAACATACGAAGGTTACGAGTACCTTCCCTCAGAAAACCCTCGACATGTGGGGGACTGAGGGAAGCCTTCGGCAATCAACAGAAGACAAGTTCTCAAACAAAGGCACCCAGACAGGCGATGAAGCCCCCGGAAGAATCATCACATCTACTCCTTTTCCCTCAAGTACCTTTCGGCAAAAGGAGTGAGGGACTCCTGATGGAGTATATGGCCCAGGAACCCCCGGCCCAAAGACTCCTACTAATCTATCACAAGCCCAACAAGCTCAAGGAGCTCAGGAGGCCCAAGATTCGGCGGCCCAAGCGTCAAGAAGGCCACGGTACACACAGGGATGCCTTCGGCCACCTTGGCCGAAGGCTCCAGAACTCACAGAACCGCCATATTCGACCATGCGAAGCTACTGGGAGAAATTGACAGAAAACGGGAGCCCTCGGCACTATGGAGCCCTCGGCACCAGGGGAATCCCTCGGCTCAGCCAAGCCTTCGGCTACACAAGGAGCCCTCGGCTACGCAAGAAGCCTACGGCTGAACTAGCTCAATCATCGAAGATTCCTTTTAGAGACAGCCAACCACCGCATTTAATGCCACGTCGCATCCGCCAACCGCATTCAATGCGGTTGACGTACCACTGCCGGTGCCACTAGGCTGATGTGACCCTTCGGCCGTTGGATTACTGACACGTGTCCTCTCATCGCATTTATTGCTGCTATAAATAGCAGCCCATTCCTCCTTGTAATCGACACAACCTACATCTCAACTCCACACGCTGAGTTCATTTAATAAAATCGACTCTCTCTCCTCCTATTTGCTCTGACTTCTCTCTAGTTATTTCCGCAATAACCCTTCGGATAAGATACCCCCGGGTAGATTGTCCATCACTTGAGTTTAAAAAATGAACATTAATTATTATAATTCCATTATTACTACTATAGTCACTAGTCACATTTTTAAAATAATCTTTATTTTAGTCATTTGTAATTACTTCTTATAATAAATATTGATATATTCACTTAGTTTAATCATAAATCTAAAAATTAACTATTTTAACGTTATTAACTTGATAGTGGCCAATACTACTCCTTGATCTTTTTTACATAGGCGTGTTCATATAAATTCAGTTACATTTTTCTTAGGTAAGTTGAAGGGTATGTAGCTGTAGCTCCGTAGCTGAAGTGTTGGGGCTAGGTCGTCGAAAAATCAAAATTCGGGTTTATCCGTCCCAATTCAATCAAGTATAGGAAGGGGATAATTGGATCTTTGAGTGAGTGAATTCTTACGTATTTGACTAGAAAGTGCCAAGAAAAATATCGAACTTACATTATAGGGATAGATATATAAAAACATTTACGAGGGAATAATTGATAAAACCAAATATATTGGTTTTACGTACGTATCTTATACCAAAAACGTCGTTTTTGTAGCCGATAGTGTTGACTACTGAAAGAGAACAACACATGATTTTTTTAATGGAAGAATAACACATGGTTTTGCATAAGAAAATAAAGGTTCGCGCCTTAAGAAAAAATTACAAAAATTATGAGTCATCGGGATAAATACATTTGAGCTACTTTTTAAACTGATAATACAAATAAAATATTCTACCAGACAAGTAATATTTTTTGTGATTTTCACACATTTTGTCCCACGAATCAAAGGGATTCAGTTCCTCTACCGTGCGGCAAAGGTGCCTTGCGATACCGGACACACGAATGAGAAAAAGGATGGTGTCGAGGTACGAACCTCACGATTACTAGCCGTTGAATTTTTAATCAGAGGTTATCAAAAGTCAACATCCTACTTTGCTCTAAAACAAGGGATCACGAGTCGGGTTTTGAAAAAATTGGGAGTAATTCAAATGACTAAAATTTTATTTATTTTAATTATTTTAATAACTTTTAATTTAATCAATCTTAACACGTTAATCTAATTAATATATGAACGTTAATTATCAGGGAACAACATTTGATTTTCTCCTAGCTAGTACCGATGTATATATGACTCAGTTGCCTTCTTCATTTTAGATCGAGACATTTCAAAGTTCTTTCCCTAAAAATTTACTCTGCTCGATTAATTTTATTTTATTCTCGTTGTTGTTATATATTGGGGAAAACTTTTCACAAATTGGAAATACTTTCTTGACAATAGTATTTACGCGTTTCCAATTATATTATTTTCTCTTAACATTTTTTTGCAAGTTTATCGGACGGAATTCCACAAACATAACGCAAGGACCAATAATGTGAGAGATAGAAGTCTGGGTGGAATAACTCGAGTCAATCCAAAACCGACACCAAACACGTGTTTGAAACTTAGAACTAAATAAAAACGACTCATCACCTACCATCACTGATTTGTTTAGTAGTTTGAGTTTCCACATTGAAATGGGAGATACCAATCATTTCAAAACAGTTTCATGCAATCCGAATCTGTAAGCAATTCAAGAAAATAAGATAGATAAACATAAAATTGAAATAAAAATTTCAAGAATACGATAGAAGAATAAGGATCATCTAGAAATAAATAAAAAAAAGAGAAAATGTTAAGAGATAAAACGAGAAAGTGAAACATGATATTGTTTTGAAGTGAGATTTTTATTTAATGTTAATAACAAAACAGAAACCATAGTTCATTAACTCGATCAGACAGGTTAAAAAAGATGCATTGCAAAATTGAGATTGGTGTCAATAGTTGTGCTAGATGCACACATTTTAGTGTACACCTTTCTTACCCTCGTGGGCATCATCTCTTTTACGCACAAAGAGTTGTCTGTTTAAGGCAACTCTGTATTTCTGGTGTCAATAGGACTATTTTTTAGAAGAGTGGTGAAAGTGAAATTAAACACATTACTCCGTACTATTTAATGCTCCATCCGTCTCATTTTAAATGTCCCGTTTTATAATATTGGAGTGTCCCTGTTTAATTGTCCCTATTTAATTGTCCTGTGTGATTCAAGATCATTCTTACTTTATTCTTACTTTATCAATTACTATTAACCACATAAACTCACTTTTTTTAAAACTCGTATCACCCTCTTTCGAAACATTTAAAAAGGGACGGAGAGTAATTCAATTAAGTCAATTTAATTACAAATAATGTCCGTTGTAAGTGACTTAAGGAGTGTTTGCGGTTGTTTAAAAAAAGCGCTTTTCAGCTTTTGGCTTAAAAAAAGCTAAAAAGAGTGTTTTCAAATGACAGCTTCTGCTTAAATTAATCACTTAAATGCTAGAAGCTGGAAGCAGGTGGAAGGGTGCTTTAAACTGCTTTTCACTTTTTCTATTACACAAAAGTACTTATTTTACCAAACACTATCAACTTTTACTTTTTCAGAATCACTTTTTTCTCAAACACTACCAACTTTTACTACTAATCACTTTTCCCAAAATCACTTTTAAAAATCACTTTTTTAAAGTTGAAGCAATTGCAAACACTCCCTTATAACGTTTGTGCAAAAAATATAAGACGATTTTAAAAAGTGTCCAGATTAGTTGAACTGAAATCCTATGAACTTTCTACTTTTGAGTAGTTATATCTGGAATCTCTCCACTGATTCTCGTAGCCCGGAAACACCGGTTAATTTTATCCACCGCAACAGTTACCAATTTCATTCAATTCACTAGTTGTGAAGACACCAATGACCGGAGACGGCGGTGGATGGAGGGGAATGTACAGTTTCGGCCGCCGCATCCTGGCGGGGCGGTGGTTCATGGTCTTCAGCTGCCTGCTGATCCTGTCGGTCGCCGGCGGAACCTACATATTCGGGCTTTACTCCGACGAGATCAAGTCAACCTTAGGGTACGACCAGACCACCTTAAACCTGGTTAGTTTCTTCAAGGAGTTAGGAGCCAACATCGGGATCATTTCCGGCCTGATTAACGAGGTAGCCCCACCATCGATCCTCCTGCTCCTCGGCGCTGTAATGAATTTCTCCGGCTACTTCGTCATATGGCTCGCCGTCACCGGCCGTATAGCCAACCCTCAGGTCTGGTGGATGTGTCTGTGCATCTGTATAGGTGCGAATTCTCAGACTTTCGCCAATACGGGTGCCCTAGTCAGCTGCGTTAAGAATTTCCCCGAATCTCGGGGCATAGTGATCGGCCTCATGAAGGGCTATGTTGGGCTCAGTGGGGCAATCATCACACAGGTATACCATGCTTTGTATGGAAACGATGCGAAATCTTTGATCTTTCTTATTGCCTGGCTTCCGGCCATCATTTCGGCCATTTTCCTCCCAACTGTTAGAGTCATCAATGGAAATAAGAATAGTAATGATAATCTTAGACAGAGAAGTGAGCTTAAGTTCTTTTACAATCTGTTGTTCATGTCTTTCGGTTTGGCTGGGGTTCTTATGGCTTTGATTATCATCCAAAGCCGGGTCACATTTACCAGGACGGACTATGTGATTAGTGTCTCTTTGATTGCTCTTTGTCTGATTTCTCCGATAACCCTTGTCATAAGAGAGGAGAGGAAGCTCGGGAAGAGCAAGAAGCAATTGCTTGATGATCCTGCAACCAAAGAACCGGTTCAAGATGCGGTAAATAATAGTAGTAGTAATTGTTATAGTAATCATGCAGAAAGGAATAATGAGGAAGTGAAGTGGTATAAGAATGTGTTTAGCCCGCCCGAAAGGGGAGATGACTACACAATTTTGCAAGCCGTTTTGAGTATTGACATGTTGATTCTTTTCATGGTCACCATCACGGGAGCTGGAGGAACGTTGACGGCCATAGACAACCTAGGACAGATTGGGAAGTCATTGGGTTATCCGAACAAAAGCATAACCACATTTGTGTCGCTCGTCAGCATTTGGGGTTACCTAGGACGAGTGGCGTCCGGTTTCGCTTCAGAGATTTTCTTGGCGAACTACAAATTCCCGCGGCCACTAATGCTCACATTAGTGCTCCTCCTTTCCTGCACTGGTCATCTTCTGATTGCTTTCGGGGTTCCCAACACCCTTTACATCGCCTCGGTGCTGATCGGGTTGTGCTTTGGAGCTCTGTGGCCGTTGATATTTTCTATAATATCTGAACTGTTTGGGCTGAAGCACTACTCAACGTTGCTCAACTTTGGCGGTGCGGCTAGCCCAGTCGGGGCGTATATATTCAACGTCAAAGTCGCAGGCGCTCTGTATGACAATGAGGGTATGAAGCAGTTGGTTGCCAAGGGGCTGATTAGAAAGCCCGGGGAGGATCTGGTGTGCAATGGTGTGGAGTGTTTCAGGCTAGCTTTTATCATTATTGCAGCCTCTACATTTGCGGGTTGCCTGGTTTCTTTGGTTTTGGTAGCCAGAACAAGAAAGTTCTACAAAAGTGACATCTACAAAAAGTTCAGGGAGAAGGCAATGGTAGCATAGGACTTGCAAAAGTATTGGGGCAGAAGAGGAGACTCAATTTAGTGCCTGTTCACTTATGTTATAGGAGTTTAGGTTCAATTATACTTGAATATACACGGCTTGTAGAAATGATGCTTTTATACGTAGTACTTGATGTCTCTAGTTCTCCAGATGCTTGTAGATATCCGTTTTCATCAGTCCTGTCTGTAGTTTTGTTAGAATGCATATTGTAAAAAGTAAAAGGGGTGATGCTCAAATTGGACACTATAGTTTCATGAGAATCTCATATTGGACATTAAGGTTTCAAATGGACCAAATTGGATACTATGGTTACATATGTATCTCATATTGAACACCGAAGTTTCATAATTCATAGTTTTTGAACACTCACGAATTGAGTTATTTTTATTTTTTAGGTATATAAAACCAAGAGAAGAAAGAGAATACTTATAGCTTTCAAGGTGAAATTTTTTGGTGGGCATCTGAAAATGATCAGAAAAACGTAAAATTGATCCATTTGAAACTTTCAAACTTTAGTGTTCTATATGAGATACATAAGTAACCACCACTACCAAAAAACGCGTTTTTGGCACGGCAAATTGACACGTCAGGCATGCGTGCCATGTTAGGCACGACAATAGGCACAACTTCGTCCCAAAAATTGTGGGCATTTCAACTGGCTCCACATTTGGCACAACGAGAGCCGTGCCAACTTCGGCAGACCAACGTTCGTGCCAAATCCCGTCCGAAGTAAACGGAAGCGAAACCTGGTAACGTTGCCGTTATAACCTTGGCACGGCTTTAGCGGTGCCAAAATTTTTCCCTATGGGAATCGTCCGTGGACGTGTCCAAGGCCGTGCCAAATCTGTTCCTATGTCGAACCCAAATATTACCGTTAGCATGGCCGTGCCATAGCCGTGCCAAATGTGGTGCCAAAATGTTACCGTTGTCGTCGGCTTGCATATGTCATGCCTGCGCCGTGCCAAATCCGTACCTATGTTCGAACCCAAATATTACCGTTAGCCAGACCGTGTCATGGGCGTGCCAATTTGTTGTGCCAAAATACAACCGTTGTCTAGGGGTGCCCAATGTCGTGTCTAAAATCGTGCCAAAACGTTACCGTTGTCGGAGATGTGCCAAAATGCCGTGCCAATAACGTGACCGTTGGGAGGTAGATTAGCTTGGTGCCTAAGTCCGTGCCAAGAATTATTTATAAATACCCATCCTTTTTTAGTTTTGTACTCACACTCAATTTTTCTTCATAGTTAATGATATAGAATGATGAATACGGATTTGCAAAGAGATGTTGCGTATGCTATATGTGGATGTTGAAGTGAACATTGTGCATTGGATTTTCTCGGAAGAATTTATATTTTGTGTCCGTTCTTAGGTATGTTTTTTCTCATTATAATTTTTTAATTTATTTAAGCTCTAATTCTTTAGTTAGATTGATTTTTAATTATCTTTTAATATTGTAAAATAGTAGGGGCGGGCAAAAATACCGAACTGGCATGGTACCGAACTGGACCGGTATGGTACTAGACCGATAAACGGGGTTTGAAATGGATCTCAATTTTTTTGTCCCGAACTGGACTGTACTGGTTCCAAACAATGCCATGACAGGTTCTCATAAAATGAGAACCGGTACCGGACCGAACCAGACCGAAGTATAGTTAAATTATTAAAATTTGTACTATTATAGTTTATCTAAAATTAATTTACTCTGTATTAGTGACCTTATCCGTCCCAAATTGATTTGCAAAGTCAACATTTTTTATCAAAATTAATGTTAAGTCCTCCCTAATGATAATTAATAATCCGTACAATTTTTAATAATTAAAATTTTTTATTGCAAAATCCGTCACGAAGTATTTTTTTTTCTAAAAGGCCAAATTAGAATATAATAAAAAAGTGAAATCTTAATTAAATGAATAATAAAACTATTAAATGAAATATGAAAATTGTTAAATTGTGTGGATTTTTGGAAGATACCTAAACTTTAATTTTTCATTAAACACTTTGAGAAAGTGGCATTATTTGGCATTGGTATGACATGGTACCGTCCCGTTTGAAAATGGACCGTATCGAACGGGTTTAGGTTTAAGACCGAACCGAACCGAACCGTTTCAATAGTAACGGTACGGGTACGGGATCGGCCAAATATTGGACCAGACCGGACCGTGCCCACCCCTATATAATATCATTGTATAATAGCACGCATTAAATTAATTCACACACTAATTTTAAAATGTAGTTGTTAAAATAGTAATTTTATTATCACTACCCAAAGAGTTCGTTATAGGCACGGATATTCGTTATATCATGCATGTGTTGAATTATGAGTATTATGAATGAGCTTATTATACCCGTGGTTTATAATTAGAAGGTTTACTAGTTGAATGTACTTGCTTAGTCAATAAATAAATAATTCCTTAATTTTTTTTTATATTCAGGCACAATGAATAGAGAAAATAGAAATTGGATGTACAATAAATATGTTGACAATGGTAGAGGATTAACAAACGAGTTTAAGAATGGAGTTATTGAATTTGTTAAGTGGGCACAACAACAAACACAGTACATGGACGGAAATAAGATAAGGTGTCCGTGTAAGGAGTGTAAAAATAACAAATTCTTGCTTGGTGAGGACGTGTGTTGGGATTTATATACTCATGGTTTTATCGAAAACTATTACAATTGGACTTCTCAAGGAGAACCGATTGAGGCATGTTATTTGCCTCAACCTGTGGGAACATCTTACTATGTTCCCGATGAGATGGTTGCGTGGGGAAATTATGCAGATATGGAATGGGAGCAAAGAATAGTTTATGATTTGGTTGGTTCTTCTGCATTTCCCAATAACCATCCGGATACCTATCCGAATAATGATTTCACCGCACACAGTAATGCGGGTGAGGGACCAAGTTCATATTTTTATGATGTTGATGCGTTAGGCACGCGATTTCAAGATGTTCTTAAAAGTGCGAACCAACCATTGTATTCTGATTGTGATGGTCATTCGCAACTATCTGCGGTTTCTGAATTTTTGAATATAAAGTCCGAATATAATCTGTTTGAGAATTGCATGTCCAGGATACTTGACTCAGTTGGTAGCATGTTACCACGTGATCATTCTCTTCCCGACACGTATTACAACATGAAAAAACTCGTCTCTGAATTGGGTCTTCCTATGATTAAAATCCATGCATGCCCCGGAGGATGCATGTTATTTTGGAAAAATGATGAGGGATTGACCCGTTGTAAATTTTGTAATGAGGATAGGTACTAGCCTATGTCAGCAATGAGCCACAAACCACGAAAAAGATCTGCAGCATCCAAATCGATATATTTGCCTTTAGCACCACGTTTACAAAGATTGTATGCGTCAAGTGCTACCGCTAAATACATGACGTGGCATGTCGAGCATGACACAGAAGAAGGATTAATGTGTCACCCATCTGATTCGGATGCATGGAAGCATTTGGACCGATGTTATCCTGAATTCGCTTTTGAACCACGCAACGTTCGTCTTGGGTTGTGTGCTGATGGTTTTGCCCCATATGGTCAATTTGGCGGACAGTTCTCATGTTGGCCAATTATCATCACACCGTATAATCTGCCTCCGGACATGTGTATGAAACAACATTTTATGTTTTTATCGTTGATGTGTCCGGGACCTGGTAATCCTAAGAAACGAATTGATGTGTACCTACAACCATTGATTGAGGAGTTGAAACAACTATGGGATGTAGGTGTTCCTACATATGATGTTACGACAGAGCAGATATTTAATTTGAGAGATGCGGTTTTATGGACAATTAGTGATTTCCCAGCATATGGAATGCTATCTGGTTGGAGTACTGCAGGCCTTATGGGGTGTCCTGTTTGTATGGAGAAGTCAAATGCATTTTGGCTCAAAAATAGCCGCAAACCATCTTATTTTGATTGTCACCGTAGGTTTCTCCCTCAAAACCATCCATACAGAAAGGATAAAAAGTCTTTCGTGAAGGGGCGCGTTGAGCGTGATCCTCCACCTCCGAGGTTGACAGGATATCAAATTTTGAATCGTGTTCAGCACATTCCTTCTGCCATAGATGAACCTCTTGAGTATCCAGATGGATATAAGATTGATCATAAATGGACCAAAAAAAGTATTTTTTGGGAATTACCATACTGGAAAGATCTACTCATTAGACACAATTTGGATGTAATGCATATTGAGAAAAATGTTTTTGATATCATTTTCAACACAGTCATGAGCTTCAAAGGGAGAACCAAAGATGGTCTAACATCCTGAAGGGATGTAGCTTTGTATTGTGATAGACCGGAAATAGCTATGGGCCCTGAATATGAAGGCCCCTACAAGAAAGCTGTTTACCAAGTGACGGTTGAACAAAAGCAAAAAATATTGGAGTGGCTTATTCAGTTGCGATTTCTAGATGGATACACATCCAACTTCAAGAGAATTGTTGACTTAGAAAAGTTGTCAATGAAAAATATGAAGAGCCATGATTGTCACGTAATCATGCAGCGTTTACTCTCAGTTGCTCTGAAGGAAAATCTTCCGGCTAATGTATGGGTGTGTATTGTTGATGTTTCCCAACTTTTTCAGTTAATATGTTCGCCTGTACTTAACAAAAAAGCTCTTGAGGACCTTCACCGCAACGATCCGACTATAATGTGTAATCTCGAAAAAGTGTTTCCTCCATCCTTTTTTGATGGAATGGAGCATCTACTTATCCATCTTCCATGGGAAGCTAGAAGAGGAGGTCCACCATTTTATAGATGGATGTACAACTTTGAGAGGTAAATATTTTATCATTTTTCACCAATTTTTATACGTATATTATTATGACATAATTACATTATTATGATAAGCTTGATAAGCCAAAAAACAGTGTTGCCAAACGACCTCTCAAAGTAATTTATGTTCAATTTTTAAACATAAGATACCACGACATTACATTGTAGTAACTACCAATTATATTTTATAAATCAATTTAATTTTAATAAGAATTTTGAAAAAATCTCATTTAATATTCAAAGGAAAAACCAAACTATTTGAAGTAGAAAGTTCGACACTTTTAATTTGGCACGGATCGGTTGTGTCAGGTTTGTCCCAAATGGTGCCAGCCTGAGAATTCTGACGAGCCGCTGGAATTTTTTTTGGAACTTGTGCAAAAGTAATGTGACCGTTTCCTTTGGCACTGAGCATCCGTGCCCGATGTGTCCCAAGAAGTTGGAAGAATCCCGAATATTTGTTCGCAAGTCCCTTTCGTGCCTAAGTACTGCGCTACACATTTATTTTATTAATCTTGGCACGGCTATGCGGTGCCAAATACTAATGATATAAAACCAACCCTTAGACTTAATTTATAGTTTCTGCAC